GTGGGCGATGAGGCAGAAGGTCTAAAATTTTCCGAAATCAAAGCCTGGCCTGCCAACCTTGGCCCTGCTAGGCCGCGGGCACCGCAAGGCCGACCGGGCTCCGGATCCTGCGCGGCCCGAGCCGCGGACCCCGACCCCGGCGACGGGGGGTTCGTCCCGAGCTGCCCTTCTAACTTCCAGACGTGTGCCCTGTGGGAGCCAGCAGCCTCTCTCCGGTCTCCGACTTCCTAATGGGAACCCTTAGGGCCCCTTTTTCCGCCCCAGCAAAACAAGGCCTGATTAGGGCGAGGTTCCTTGCGCCTAAAAGTTTGCGGTCGATTCGAACCAAACGCCCCGATCTTCCCTGCTCCTCCTGGGGCGAGTGCCGTCGCTTGTTTCAGATTTGGGCCAATAAAAGTAAAGTTCAGAGACGTCCCGTCTTCGCTACATTGACTGGAGTTGAGGAAAGGAAGTCATCCTGCAATACTGATTTCTTTCCTTATACTTTTTTTCTTTAAATCAGCCGTGAGCTCTTTTATACCTCTCCCCACCAGGCAGATCTCACTAGATACAATTTCGTCCCCAAAGCTAGACGAACTTTGTGGTTTAAGGGTGCAAATCTCACCCCAAACAAACCCCCGGGACGCACACCTTTCTCTCCCCCGTCCCTGCGGGCCTCGGGGCCCTTCATTCTCGCCTCCGGAGGGTGAAGATTGGGGAAGGTGTTTGGCGGAGGCGCTCGGTTTTCCCCCTCGAGCCGAGGAACTCTGTTGCGGAATCCCGAATCCCTCGGTGGTGAGAAGGCCCGGGAGTGAAGGCTGGGCCTGGGTCTGGGCCTCGGGTGGGTCGGGCTGAGTTTCGGAAGCGGCAAGATTACAGCCTGAAGGGGAAAGGAGTGGACCCTGGGCCTGGCTGCTGCGGGCGCACAGTTTGGCAAGTGGTGGGAAGCCTGGATCTTTGGGGCTCTAAGGATTTGGGGTCAGGAGGGGTGAGATGTTCTGGGGTTTGACTGTAGGGCTCTTGGGTCCTGCTGGATGGTGAAGACCGGAGGAAATTAGAGTCATTCTGGCCTCTCCCTGTCTCTTTGTTTCTCTGGGTATCTCTCTCACTCTCTCTCACACAGATACTTGCTCTTCTCCAGGCGCCCTCTCTCCATGCCCCCAAATCTGGCCTGGACTCCGGACTCCTAACCCTAGGCCTGGCGCTGCCGTCCTGGGGTTCCCGCGAGGCCGGAGCATTGACATGCAAACAAGCGACTTGTGGTGGTAATGACGCTCACCCCAAAGCCGCTCGGCTGGCTCCAGGGCCGACCGGGGCGCTGGCCCAGGCCTTTCTTCGGTGCCCGTAACGCCGGCGGCGGCGCAGAGCCCGCAGGCCCCAATCTGCACCTCAAAGGCGCCCTCGGCGGGGATACAAAAACAGTTTAGCAGCCTCGGTGGGTGCGGAGCCGGAGATCCGCGGGGCGCGGGGCAGCAGGAGGGGCTGGGTGGAGAAGATTGAAGAGCCTAAGACATCCCCAGCCCGCAAACTGAAAGAAAGAAAGAAAGCGAAACTTAAGAGTTCCCTTACCTACGCCGTGGCGACGTCTAGGGGTGGAAATCCATGCTCCCAGGCCTGGGGTTTGGCCTACACAGTCAGCTCTGCGTCTGCGGCGGCTGCTGGGAAGGTGTCACTCCTCCCGGCGGCCCATCTCCCTACTTCCAGCCGCGGCGCTGGGCGGTGAGCCCCGGGGCTGACCCTTCCCCGGTGGAGCGCGGCGCGCAGCCTTGAGCTGGGCTCAGCCAAAGGACTGCTAGTGTTGGGGGGGTGCAGGGGAGCGCCCAGGTGTTGTGGGGAGCGAGTCCCTCGGGGTCTAATTCCCCCCTCTAGCTCTAGTCTTCTTTCTAACTTTTTTGGGGGGCCTCTGGCCTGCTCGGCCTGGCTTGGAAAATTTGCTGCGGTCCTCTGGAGGGAGAACTGTCCTTCCACGGGCTTGCTGGGAAGGGTCCTCTCTCCTCTAGCCTTCTTTCCACCTGTTCGGGAAAGCTCTGATTTTCAACAGCCTGTACCCCACTTCGAGGACAGTATGGAAACCTGGGAGGCTTGGAGATTTTCAAGAAACAGGCCCAGAAGGCATCAGAGGTCGTTGGTAGAGCAGCTCTGAGGAGAGACCCACTGTTGTTGGGGAGTTTTCGGTATTGGAGTGGGAGACAAACTTTTTTGTGGAGGGCAAATGAGGAAGTTCGGCCGGGAGAAATTACTCTATTTTGAGTATCACGTCTTTTTTTTTTTCTTTCTTCCTTAAAAAATTTGCTAAAGCAGAAGAAAAAAATATAAAGCCCGGGCGGGGTGAGCAGGCCCCTGTGTGGAGTGGGAGAGCCCAGCCTGGCCAGCCCGGTCCAGGGGATGGCTGCGGGGTCTCCGGGCTCCCCCTCGGCCCGGCACTGCGCCACGAGCGGGCCACGTTAGTAACATCACCAAATCATGAAGGAACTCTCCCTGCTTTAATTAAAAAGGGGAATCTTGGGAAAACTGGAGCAGATTAGCACAGCGAAGAGCTGGTTCCCAGCGACTTATTTTGATGCATGCATGACACCGTGCCTTTCGGCCCAACTCCAGAGGCGACTGTGAGTGTCTGCAGGAGTTCTGTATCCATGTCCACATCACACCTAGGAAACCCTTAGCCCAGACACCACGTTGAGTTATCGCTGGGTCCTAGCTTCATACGAACGAGAGGAAAAATCATTTTAACTCCTGGAGCTGTCAAGTAACCTCTTCAGGGTACAATTTTTTTTTATTTTACACGCGGCAATTAAAGAATCGCAAACCCCAGCCGAGCGACTGGGGCCAGTTTGGCAAAATCTCCAACCTGGGGGTAAAGCGCAAAGCCAATAAAACTCCCAAAGCCCTGCGGCCCGAGGTGGCGGCTGCCCCGGAGCGGAGGCGATCTCTTGTTGGGCAAAAAATCCTGGAGTGACTTCGCCGATCTTGGTTTGGTGGTTCTATTTAATTGCGAAAAGGATAATTTCTAATACAATTGGACGGGGGACTGAAAGGACAGCGCCGGTACTGGTAGCCAGGGGTAGGGGAGAGGCGCTGAGAGCCTGGCCTCGGGCGCGGCCGCTCGGCCTCCGCGCGGCACCCGGCTTTGGCGATCGGCTCCTGTTTTCCAG